CCCACCCGTTTGAACTAATAAAGTGCCAGGGGCCTAAGTAGTCACCTCAATATTAAAAAAAAAAAAAAAAAAAAAAAAAAAAAGATACATGATATATAGGGATGCTAACAACTCAAATGACTTTAGTGATTAAAAATAATAAAAATAATAAATATACAAGTCGGATTAAGCTATTAGCTTCTTTAAAAGAATTTTATAAATCAACTGAGTAAGTATAATTATTTTAGATAACTATAGTGAATATCGATTTCTGGGTTGGTGAATGAGTGGGTTTAAGCTCTATACATAGCTAGTTATACTGTATATTTATAGTTAACTATAAATATAATATAAAATTTTTTTGTAAAAAGTTATAGCCAAAAAAATTATTTTAATATTAAAAATTAAACTAGTATAATATAAGACAAAAAATCCTAACAATTTTTTAATAAAAATAACCAAATTTAAATATATATTACTATATACAAAAAATATAGATAATATTGTAATATAAAATAAAAAGCAGCCAAGTAAGTCTTTATTGTGAAAATAGAAGGGTCAAAGGCATTTAGTTAATTGCAGGCTTTTTGTTCAGATACTTTGTATACTAGTTTATACTTTACTTTTAGTGACAATAAAGGCAGGAAGGATTGCCAAATTTAGAAAAAAAAAGTAATATAAAATAAATAAATTATTATTTTTTTATTAATAGCAGCCAAATTTTTATTTATATATAGAGTTCTATAGCAAAAAATAATAATAAACCAACTAATCAATTATAAGATTTTATTATAATAATTTATTATTCTATTTTTTCTAAAAAAATATTATTTAGTTAAATTTATTAGTAAAAAAGTATATAAATTTATTGATTTTTAATCATGGTTTTTTAAAAATTATAATTATCCTATTATCACCTTTTGCTATAAAAGCCTCTATATAAACTTTAAATCTAAATTTAAAAAACTGATTTAGCCAAATTGAATTGTAATTTTTTGGCTAAAAATACAATATTATATCTTTAAATTTTCATTACAATAATAAATAACAAATTTATCTATTTAGCACAAATGAATATACAGAACAGTAAGCTATAACAAGCCATTATCAGTTAAAAAAAAAAATAAAGAATTTTAAATTTTTTTAAAATACAAAGATAATTTTTTTTTATAATTTATGCTATAGTATTTATATTAAGTATATAAAACTTAAAGTATTTATTTTTATATAACAAACCTTGATAAACTAAATTTGCTATTAATCAAAAAAATATTATTCCACTATATTAATTTAATATGATATTCTGAAATAGTTATATTTTTAACATTACAACAAAATTTACATCCTAGCAAAAAAAAAACTTATATTGAAGCTGTTATTAATACAAAATAAATGTTTTAAAATTAAAATAATATATGACAATAACACAATATAATTTGTTCACCATATTTAACGCAAAACAATATCTTATATAAAATAAATAATTAAAAATGTTCTCAAATTTTGTGTCGCAAAAATGTGCATAAAAACATATCTCAAACGGAAAAAATGTCAGATGCTTGTCTAGCAACCATACGGGAACCGAATTGTAAAGTGCTAGTTCCTCCGGGCAGATATGAAACAGTATACCTATGAAAATGTTATGTTATCTTTAAGCATAAATGTCGTTAATTTGACGGATCAGATATACACTAATCGGCTTACCATATGAGAGCAATTATTTGGATGATACTGAATATGATTGTGAGAATAGTATTTCTTAACTTTGAATGGCAAAAACAAAATAGAATTAGGTGCATTGATTATTATTATACTATAAAATAAAATGAATAAATTAAGGAGAGCACCACTTTACCCCAATTGCAAAATATAGAGTCGTGGCCATAGAGCCAATATAAGCAATGGTGAAAGGAAGACGTTCTCGAGAAATCATATGTCGAAGATGAGCAAATGGTCCATAAAGTAATGCAAAACTACAGAAACCAATAATCAATATAAAAGTTAATATTCATTAGCAGGCTCATAAACTTGAAGAACTTCAAATGTAGCAAACCTTGATAATATTAAAAGACTGCCCATTGTGTAGGTAACTGCAAATTTTCGTGGTTTTATAGCCAAAAGTGGCAAAGAAATGAATGCCTATTTAATAATTGAAGAACGAATACATATTAATTTATACCATAATATTTAAGGATCAGCACAATGCGAAAGAAAAATGACGTACGATAATAAAGCAAAGCGCTCCAGAAGCAAATAATATTCCAAAACCAACGAGTCGCTATAAAGATGTAAATAGTTAACGGCGTATTATAATTAAAATGATTAATAAATGCCAATTGAGCTAACCTGCCATCTAGTTAGTGTAAACCATTCATCTTCTTGTTCTCCATTGTTTGTTAAGGGTAGATAGCCCTGCACCCTATTACCAACGCTTCCAAAGAAATTTGAAGTGTTTTCAGCAAGTCGAGAAAAGGGTGTAGACTTACTAGTGGAAATATTAGCGTTGTTAGAGCTAGAAGCCCAACGGAAAGAACGCAATGATTCGCGAAACTGTTGTTCACCGCTTGACATTGTGCGAGTTTCCAATAAAATAAGAAATTGCCATGATTATCGTTTGGAAACTATAAATTGGCTGATGTGCTTGCACCAGCCACCGAGTTTAGCAATATATATAATTATGCATATCGATATTGCGTAGGAAACGAAATTTTTTGCTCCTTTTCGCCACAATGACGGCTTTACTTAAAGTGCTGGCCCTTTGGGGTCTTGCTATTTGTTCTATTTTTATAATTGCTAAAGCGAATACTAATATCAGCCCAGTCTCCCCGGGAGAAAGCATTATTCCATTACGTACTCACTCTCTTTATATGCCGTACATTGGTGAGAATAGTGTTACCGCTTTTACATTAAACCAGCAAAAAAAAACTAATCAAAAAAAAAAAATACTTTTCTATCCAATTTTAGATCAAGATCTTCAAAATCGTTGGTTCGACTTTGGCGCCGATACAGTGATTAACACTAACAAGTATATTAGACTGACGCACGATCGACAATCTCAAACTGGTTGGCTTTGGAGTAGATTGGTACGAATTATTCTTTTTTTGTCAATTTGAAAGTTTGAAATGTTATAGGGCTATTTATCGGACGAGTAGTATAGTCCGTTAAAAGTATCGATGGCAGACTGTAAATTTTGAGCCAAAAAAATAACAAATTGAATGCTCATTTTAATATTTACATTAACTAATAGCCTTTGACAGCTACGAATTGGCAGGTTGAATTTGAGTTCAAAATTGACGGACATAATCCCAGCTTGTATGGTGATGGAATGGCCGTATGGTTTACCACAGACCGTGCAAAGCCCGGACCTGTATTTGGATTCATTGATAAATTCGAAGGGTTAGGCATATTCTTTGATACTTATGCTAACTCTAGACAATCAGTAAGTATAAATATGGTGCATGGAACATGTTGTCTTTTCCTCACGTATTTGTACTCTTTCTTACCACCTTAGTATCGTTAGCATTCATTTCCTTATGTCATGGCAATGTTGGGTGATGGTCAGACTGAATATGATAATGCTAATGATGGTAAAGCCAATGAAATTGCCGGATGCGAGGTAAGATGATAACTAATTGGTTATCATTGGTCAAGCAAACATTATATATATATATATTTATTTTAGGCTGATATACGTGGAAAGTCGGTTGCAACAAAAGCACGCATTACATATTATAAGAATACCTATCTTGAGGTGAATATATCTTTATAGCAATTTTACTTTCATTATTTCATGAAAAAATATCTAGATATTCAAATTTATTATATTCATGTGTTTAAACTAGGTCAAATTACAATATAAGGAATGGGACCAATGGGAACCGTGCTTTACTATTAATAATATAACACTCCCTACAGTTGCTTATCTTGGTTTCAGTGCATTGACTGGTGATGTTAGCGGTACATATATTTTTTTTCATAACCTTTTTTTTCATAACATTATTCTTCCTTTTAGTTAAATATTATGTTTGAAATTAATAGATAGTCACGATGTTATAAGCATTACAACAAATAACATGATTTCTATCCCTCCACGAGTTCAAAAGGTAATATTCACTTTATAATTGTTATATCATTATGTTTCCCATAAAAAGCTAACCTTTTTTAATCAGCCAATTACGCGACAAGAATCTGCGTCTTCAAGCTGGTTTGGATTGCTGTTCACTCTCAAGCTCATTGCTACTGCAGCTTTTCTTGGTGTTTTGGTACTGGTGTATAGAATGTATAGAAATCAGTCAAATAAAAGGTTTTAAGAACCACTTATCGTAATACTTTTTTTTTTTTTATTTTTGTAAAAGACGATTAATGAAAGTGTACTTTAATATGTTCTATTAACATTCAAAAATTTTTATAAGAAAAATGAAATTGGCAAAGTTCTTTGTCTTACAAATACTTTATTGATACCAATATATAATTTATTTAATTTATTTAATTTAGTATATAACACAGTTATTATTCATTGAGTGCATTAAACATTTGATTTAAAATTTATTTACAGGATTGTGTATTATTTCAAATCAAAAATTTACGTCCGTATTATAATAATTGTCGTGGCTGATAATGAAATTGGTTGATGCAGAATTTGGGAGTCTCTAGTTGTAAATAAAAATCCTACGAAAATCTACTTTTTTAAATATTCTATCCATAAAAAAAGGAGTCCAAAATTCAGCATCAGCCATGACAATAATTTGCCAATTAATATACAGTAATATCGGTTTTTTATGTAATAAAATTATTATTCTATGATGTACATGAGTAAAGTTTTACAAATGTAAGTTCCTTATTAAATTACACATTTTCCTTCTCATTACTTCCACTTATATTAATTTTTTCATTCTCGTTGGATTCTCCTTTTTCTAATCTCTCAGAAGTTTCTAATTCTTTCAGTTTCTTGTTCTCCTGATCCTTGAACCATGTGTATAAACAACTTCCTAAAAGGATTATAAATATACCACCAACACGGCCACTAGTCAAAATTTCTTGGAATAAAAGTGCACCAAGAATGGTCTGAACAACGCCACGGAATGCGGATGAAATCATGTGTGTCACGGGTGATGTAACTTTGATTTGGAGAAATCCCGCGATGTTTATCAAAAAGCCGAAGAATCCCTTCAAAAACGATTCAAAAAAAATGAATACGCAGAAAATATATTTTGAAGTGCCATTTATTACGTATTTTTTTAAGTCAGCAGCCGAATATAAACGTTATATTGGCAGCTGATTTATCGATAAAAAAAATTACGTAATAAACAGAACACCCTTTAATGAGAAAAAATGAATGTAATATGTGATATATACCGTAACAAAAATACCGATGAAGAAAGTTCTAGCGGAAGATTTACTTTCACTAGTAGGATCCGGATCAGAAAATAGCATGAAAATATCATCATGTTCACCCGCTAGTAAGATTACAGGTGTAAATGCGATAGCACTCAAAAGGTTGTTATAATAAACCAACTCCATAGTATTGCCTTTAACAACATCTAAACTCTTCTTTATAACAATCGCGTGCAAGGCTGTAGAAACAGAAGAACATATTCCAAAAAAGACTCCAAGCATAGATAGTGTTAAACGCTCTGAAGACACACCAACAAAGAATCCCGTACAGACAATAAAGCATGATAAGAGAACCATCAATGATGTTCTCTGATTAAGAAACATATAAGAAAATAAAACTGTAAAGGGAAGAACTAGTGCACGAGCAACCTTTATAGATAAATAGAAGAACGTTGTAAATATAAAATATAAAATAAATATAATATGACAATGTAGATAAAGTAACGAACCTGATAAAAACTGGCATCTACATATTGTAGACAAACTGTATTAAAACTTAATCCCAAAACATTGATGAAGACAAGTGGTAATAGACCAACGCATATATCCTTTTGCACTACTGGCAATCTAAAGAGACCAAAAGCTGCCGAGATATGTAAAAGAATTACCGCGAAAGTAACTTGGAACCAAAGTAAAGAAAAGGGTAAATCGACGCTATTCAGTACCCACTAAACAAATAAATAAAGTTATATAAGAAAGTTAAAGGGCCTATGATTTATTTTTAAAATTAGCTACCTTGTTCACGAATACCATTATCAATGCCGTAGTGATATAGAAGGAGACTGAAAAAGCGACCATTTTGCGGCTAGGTTGTTTGTCGGCCATTTTTTCGATATGATAATAGAGAATGTGTATGAATCGTTGTATGTAAATGTTTCTTGAAGTAAATGAATTTAAGCATCCTTGTCATTAGAAAAAAAGCTTATTTACGGTATCTGTTACCGTTACATTAAAATTTAAAAGGGGACCAATCATATAATTACAAATATTTTCGTGCCAGGGGACACGGAAAAGTTCACATATATACTGGTGACCCGTGGCTTCGCTTTTTATTGTCGCTGCAAATATATATATTGATATATAACAAGATTAAATTACTTTATCGGTATATACTGTTAAATTTATACAGTAAGACCTAAATGCATGGCATTTTGTTCTTTATAAATGCACACTCTTTAAGTGCACGTTTTGCTTTTTTTACTATATGAGGGAGTACGTATTACAGTTAATTTCTCTGCATTACTGCATTAAGCGATACAAAAATTACCCAAAAGTTGCTTTTTTGATGCATCTGCAGAAGATAATAGAAACGCGTTTGTAGATGATCATCATACGACATGCTTCGGATCTAACAATGCTACGCATTTTTCCTAGTAAATTTTGTTCAATTTTAAAATTTGTTTTTTGTTCGTTTAGATTACTTAATTTTTAAGTTGGCTAATAGACAAAAATGTGGCTTAGCAAATGACAATGGACTATGTTCATTGACCTAATGAACAATATTGCATTTATGCTGTCGATCTATTGGCCACTGCCGTGCATATTCTGTAATACGCTCTCATGCGAGCACGTGCTACGTTAGTTTCGCATTGTAAAAATGTCAAGAAATTCTAGAAATCCTATATTTTGCCTGGTAGTTATATTTTTCAAATAGAGTTTATGAACTAGTCGTAGAGGTTCTGTTTATCATACACTAACAAAAGTAATAACTAGGTAAATGCATAGCATTGTGTGTCCGGAGCTTAATATTTAACTAAAAAATAAACTATACTAAATTTAAATTTTAAAAAAATAATTTTTATTGTTTATCTAGTAACACTAGCCAATTAGAATACACTATTTTAATAATCTTTTAAATTAATTATTATA